TCTCTTCCCAAAACATGAAAGCAACAACTTTCACCCTCACCATCTGTGCTTGCCTCTCCCATCTGCGGGGCTGCTATCCCAGGAGTTTTCAAGATGTTCCCTAAGCACCAGGGTCCCCAAGAGACCGCACTACCAATCAGCAGGAGGCCTGGGACAGAGTCCACGACAGTGAGGTCCCTCCAAGGCCAGCGAGCCGGCTCCTTCATTGGGCCAGTTCTGGAGCTCAGAGAATAAAAGAAGTGGCGAGGTCCTGGAGGTCGGTTAAAAACAGGGTGGGAGCCAGGTGTGGTGGCTCACGCCTGTAATCCCAGCATGTAGAGAGGCGGAGACAAGAGGATTGCCTGAGCTCAGGGATTCAAGACCAGCCTGAGCAACATGGAAAGACCTCATCTCTATAATAACTCCAAAAATTAACTGAGCAGTGTGGCGCATGCCTGTGGTTCCAGCTACTTGAAAGGATGAGACAGAAGGATTGCCTGAGCCCAGCAGGTCCAGGATGTGGTGGCTGTGAGCCTGCCACTGCACTCCAGCCTGGGTGGCAGTGTGAGACAACAACCCCCCAAAAAAGTTACCGAGTGGGGCGTTTTCCACACGGCCCATTACCTGCCTGAGTCCATAGAAGCTGTGAGTCCCTTTGACACTGTTCTGGGGACCTGTCTTTTGGCCCATCTAGACCACAGGGTGCTATCCCCTGGAGAGGTCAAGGGCACTTTCTGTTTTCCCCACTCACTCACTTGAAGCTTGGCCATAGGCCGCCTGGGACATTGCTTGTTCTTTAGCTTTGGGATTACAGTCTAACTTTTCCCATGTTTTGGGGAGAGGAGCCCCAGCACCTGGTGGCAGCCTGGACATGCTGTAGGCAAGCCGGGGACTAGGAGAATTGGTTGTTCTTGCGTCTACACCTGCAACAGTTTTTTTACTTGCAACATTAAGATGTATGCCAGGCGCAGTGGCTCAAGCCTGTAATCCCAACACTTTGGGAGGCCGAGGTGAGGGGATTGCCTGAGCCCTTGGGTTTGAGAACAGCTTGGGCAACTTGGCAAGACCTCATCTCTACAATTTTAAAAAAAAAAAAGCCGGGCATGGTAGCACATGCCTGTAGTTCCGGCTACTTGGAAGGCTGAGGTGGAAGGATCGCTTGAGCTCAGCAGGTCGATGCTTGGATGGCTTTGAGCATGCGTGCCACTGCACTCCAGCCTAGGCCATAGAGTGAGACTCCAACTCAAAAAAAAAAATGCATGATAGGTGGGAGGCTGGGTGCGGTGGTTCGTGCCTGTAATCCCAGCACTTTGAGGGGCCGAGGCGGAAGGACCACTTGAGCCCAGGAGTTCGAGATAAGCTGGGGCAACATAGTGAGACCTTGTCTCTACAAAAAAATTAAAAATTAGCCAGGTGTGGTGCTGCCTGCCTGTAGTCCCAGCGACTCGGGAGTCTGAGGCAGGAGGATCACCTGAGTCAAGGAGATTGAGGCTACGGTAATTTGTGATCTGTGTCACTGCACTACAGCCTAGGCAACAGAGTAAGGCTCTGATGATAGAAAGAGTGCCATTTGAGCTGGGCGTGGTGGCTTATGCCTGTAATCCCAACACTTTGGGAGGAGGAGGCAAGAGGATTGCCTGAGCCCACAGGTTTGAGATCAGGTTGGGCAGCATGGCGAAAACTCGTCTCTATAATAAATCAAAAATTAGCTAGGCGTGGTGACACATGCCTGTAGTTCCAGCTACTTGGAAGGTTGAGGTTGAAGGATCACCTGAGCCCAGCAGGTCAAGGCTGTGGTGGCCGTGAGCATGCCACTGGACTCCAGCCTGAGCGACAGAGCGAGACTCTGACTCAATAAAAAAAAAGAAAGAAAAAGAAAGAGCACTTTTTGTTTTAACGTCGTGTAAACTAGCAAGGCGAATGTAAGGCACTTCTTAACAGATGATGGAATCCAAAATAAAATTTTTCTTTAATGATTTAGACTCTCCTTCAATGATGAGTGAGCTGATTCTCTTAATCCTCCAGCCATTTGGTATAAGTACACTCCCTCTCCCATAAGAAAGAGTGTTCTTGGATGTTAGCTGTCCCTAACATCACAGACCTGGACAGAGGTGTCCTTGGGTGGAAGGGTGGTGATCTGCAGTCGCTAGAAGCTGTGCATGTCAGTTCCTATCTGTAACGGGTAGTAACAAGTCTTCTTTTTTTTTTTTGAGTCAGAGTCTCACTCTGTCGCCCAGGCTGGAGTGCAGTGGCCGCTCACAGCCACTGCAGCCTCGACCTCGTGGGCTCAGGTAATCCTTCCACCTCAACCTTCCAAGTAGCTGCAACTACAGGCATGTACTACGATGCCCAGGTAATCTTAGGGGGGGCACTTATTGTAAAGACAGGGTCTCACCAAGTTGCCCAGGTTGGTCTCGAACCCATGAACTCAGGCAACCCTCTTGCCTCAGCCTCCCAAAGTGCTGGGATTACAGGCTTGAGCCACC